ACAGTTGCTTATCAAAAAAATGTTTCGGCGAAAACATCCTCTTTAACTTGAATAACGCTTGTTTTCTTTATAACTCACTCGCCATCAAATTGTGAAGTTCAAGGAGGATTTTCCCGTAATTAAACTCGTAATTGTAGCCCTAAATCATTCGGGTTCTTTTAGCAATCATTGTTTTTATGCGTTAGAAAAAGATAAAAGTGTTATTCACCAGCATAGGTCGGTCCGTAATGGGAACTTCTGAACTGTTCGTATATTTCTGAACTGTTCAAAAATTGGTGTAGCATCCTGGATTCTTTAAGGCTCGGGTCGCATTACGACCGAATTGTTTACTCTAGGGATTAAACTCTGTCAACACAAGCATTTTCTAATGCGACCCAATTTTTGCGGTTTCCTAAAAGTTTCAAAATTCTAAAAATCATCAAAGACGCCGGTGTGCCTGGGTGGGGCTGACCGATTTTGCCAAATTTTTTTGAAACGAAAGGACCCGCGTCCGTTGCGGACAAAGTTGTCATTTGTGCGTGCGTGTGAAAAAAGATAAAAACCAAAAAGAGCGGGAAACACATATTTGCATTCACTTACAATTTCACTTTCCGTGACATTTTAAAACGGAACAGAGGTAAATCTTCGAAGATTAATCGTCGTTGGAAATAAAAAATACTTTTCGTAAGATCTCTGTTTTTCTCTTTACGAGAAAATCGTCGCATGATCAATTAACTCGTGTGTGTTTGTCACACAAGTACTGCTGTGTCTTCAAAAGCGTATGCTTCAATTGACAGGTGTCACATCGTGACAGTTACTTTTCCAAAAAATGTTTGAAAATTTGTTCGGAAGCCTTTTAACTACCTTTACAAATAAAAATCCTTCGTTGAAAGTTTTCTCTTTAATTTGAAGAACCCGAATGATTTAGGGCTACAATTACGAGTTTATCCTCCTTGAACTTAACAATTTGATTGCGGGTGAGTTATAAAGAAAACAAATGTCCGCGTTTTACTAGTCTGCGATTTACTAGTCCAGTCCAGTCCAGTCCAGTCCCGTCCACGAAATACCATATGCCCAGTCAAGGCTTCTCTATTTGTTAAATAAAACTTTATAAGGACATTCTTGGGCAAGAACCTTTAGCGCTTCAATAAGTCTATTTTTGTTCGCAAAGTTTTTCTTTAGTTCTAGCATATGCGGTATCCAGGTAAGCTTGTCATCCACAATCATTCCAAGAAGACGCGATATTTTGACATAGCCTAAAACAGATTTACCCAAAAATATTGGAGGTAGCGGTCCTATAATGGTTGGTGTACTAATTAACATGACTTCGCTCTTAGCCGGGTGAGGTGTTAAGCGATTCTCTAGGCACCACCTGTTGTTCGGATGTAGAACAAGAATGCAGAAACAGTTTACGACTGTGTTGTTTATTCAACACACACACAACCCGGGTTGAAAAGCAAAAGCGGAAAGCATGGTCTCTCGGTTACCATGGCATTAGTAACGTAACACATAGCGGAAATGAATTAACGATTACATTGATATCGTTACAAGGACGAGGCATTTGAACTCCTTTAGCAATGTTTGTACCTTGTAACTAGCTGAGCCTGTGCTCGTTTTGCGTGACGAGACCAAACAACGGCCTACGCCCAGGCTAAAACTTTGCTTTCTGACGTTCCTTCGTCAGAAAAAAAAATTAATCAAAATTGTTCAATTACGGCTCGTTACCTCAAAAACATTATTCCATATGATTTTGCGGTGAAAACAAATTATCTCCAATAGCTTCTAACCAAAGACATTTTTCGATCTCCGTTCTTCGAACAAGTGAAAATGTATTGAACGAAAAGAAAGTATCAAACTTCAAAGGCTTGCACGTGGGCTCCTTACTTGGTTGTTGCCTATTTTTCCAATCCCACTGAAAAAAGTTCACCTCGACCAGAACGCATCAATTTTGCTTTTAGCTGCGTGAGACTATACCCCATCAGATGCCAATTCCCTGTAAAAACCAGCACTGTGTCGCTCTGTCCACAAGCAGAGGGCAAAGTTCAAATGGGTTTTAAAAAACCAATCACTGAGCTTATATTGTTCTCCCAACCGAAAGCCTTCGAAATATGACTCTTTTCTCTTCGTTCAATCAAATTTAATTTGTATTCGGAGAGGCATCATCGGAGAACAGGTACCGCAAAATATCTTCTGTTAGGATTTATTGGGGATAAAATAGTTCGGGTTTGCTTTCCACTGTCAAATTATGTGGTAAAATTTTTCGGACTGAGGCAAATGACAATAATTTTGATTCATTGATGAAAGGGCGGTAAGCGTGACACTGATGCATTTCACTTTTCTTGTTACTGTTCCAACAACAGAGACAGTAGGCTGTAAACCTGTTAGAGGTTATTTCAAATAAATTTGGAAGGTTTTCTGCTTTCCCAGCAAGTAAAGTAATGCGACAGTTTGGTTGGCATCTTTGAAAATTAATGCTTTTTTCTTGGAACTAAAAATTAATACAATGGTTGCACAAAGTATCCCAGCCCATACCACTAATTCCAAAAAATAAACTCTTGCATGCTCAGCATGCCTATGTTTTTTATTTTGAGTTCTTATTGCCTCCTTGTCATATGTTCCACTGATATGATTGGCAGTTGTTGTGATTACTTTGGTTTTGGTTTTACGACACTACGGCTGTCGCTGAGACTCAAAACCTTATCCCCGATAAAACAAGTCGTTCTGAATTAAATTCAAAGTAGCCTCTGTCAGACAATACTTTCCCTTATGAAAGCCTCGCGTAACATAGAGGTCATCGACAAGGATTGTCGGTCTTTGTTAACGAGTTTATGACTTATTGAACCAGGCTCATTGAACCTAATACACCTTTAAAGAGCTACAAACTAGGCTCTTCCCAAAATAGCGTCCAACGAGGTCAGTCCATAACTTTAAGGTGATCGCGTAGAAAGAAAAATCTTTTCCTTGGCGTTTAGACCCGACAAAGTACTCTTTTCCCATTTTTTCTTGAGCCCATAGGAGAATTTTGTCTATGGTAGGCGTGTCCACTTGTACGATTTCTGCTATACCCTTGATAACCGCCAGTCCATACGGGACATCCTCTGTAAGATAACGATGAGAGAAGTCTGGTACGAAGGGATGATTGTTGTGTTGTTTCATTGGATGCTTCAGACCCTGGTAAGCGGCGTTTGTGCAAAAACAAGATCGCAGGCTCGAAGTATCGGAAATTTCGTGAGAATAAAACTTGACAAGATCATAGATACTCATTACCTGAAGCGGAGAAAAAAAAAAAACAAACTCATCAAAAGTGAGTTCTTCTGACTAATCGCTATTTTTTTAAGCCAAAGGTTTTATGCACATGCATATTTCATCAAAAAGGAATTATTTCATCTCCTTCTCGCTAACTTAATATTCTTTATGCGCGATACCATGTTCCGTTTTGGCAGCAAAACGACTGCCTCACCCTTGAAGGCATCTTTACTATGCAATGGTTGGAGAAATTAAACTCATTGGGCTAGCCAGAAGTTAGTTAAAGCGCGTCTCAATGATGAGGGGGGATAAGTTTTCTTTGACAGTTGGCGATTAATTTTTTTATAAGTTAACTATCTATGTGAGGATATTTCTTCAATGGGTTAGAATAGTTAATTTCTAATTGAACTGAAGAAATGAGGTGCATTGTGGATGAGCAACAAAGCGCAAGATATGCTTCCAGTGTAATTTTCTTACTGGATCGACTTCCAATGAAAAAACATACCCAGCTCCATCTTCAACCAAAAAATGATCTTCTAAGAGCTTGGCAATATCAAAACGTTGCATTTTATGGTGCTTTAGAACTTTGCAGAAATTGTAAACCGTTAGGTTTGGTTTGCAACCACCCAGAAACTCCATGACGTCTTTTCCAGGTTCCCTGGAATTGACAAGACCTGTTATTTTACTCTCTTTCATGTTGTATTCAGCAGCAACCTGCCTCCAGCCCCCAAGACTATAGAGGCTGTTCTCAAGCATAAACGCAACTTCATCACGGGTGTGGAGATCTACTTCTTGTAAAAGTTTAGGCCCTACCGATTAGATAAAAGAAATCCTCAATTAGGAAAAAGGACGATATTAGAAATGGAGAGTAATTTATATTTTCAAACATTTATAGATAGCAGAGCGTAAAGTAATTGGAAATAAACATCTTAACATCCCTTCCGTTGAAATGTCACAATGATTTAATTGAAGAAGATGTACATCCTTATTGTCAGCAGCAACAAGACAAGCGTTTCATTTGTGAGAAGGCCAGTTACCAACATCTTCTTTATGGGTCACATTTTATAGGCTGGATTATCCATACATTTTGATTGGTTCTTAGTTATAATCTATTTGAGATGTCTCCCTTTAGTTATATATCTTTGAAGACTCCAAATATTTCTTCGTCATCCTAGAAGAGGTGAAATTATAAATTGAGAAATGACCTATCAACCTATTAACAAGTTTTACTAAACTAACCTGCCGAAGCATATAGAAAGGAGGGAAGAGGAAGAGAGGGAGGGAATAAGGTATAGAGGGAGGGAAAACAGGAAAGTAAGAGAGCAGGATGTTGGAAAGGGGGGAGTGGGCGGGAGAGGGATGGACAAAAGGATAGATGAAGGGATAGAGTGAGGCAAGTTGGAATAGATAAAATAAAAGAAGTAAGGGAATGAGAAACGGGTAGATGGAGGAAAGATGGGAAGGAAAGGTTTGACTCAAGAAGGGAGGTAAGGACTGACAGATGCATGCAGCAGGAGTAATTGATGAAGGGGAAGGGTGGGAGGAGTGATGGTTAAATTGAGAGAGGTGTAGATGAGTGAATGGAACGATGTATGGAGGGAAGACTGAAAGGAAGGAAGATGAATGGCCAGCTGGCGGCTTGGATGCTCAGAAGTAAGGCTAACAAAGAGACAGACTGACAGTTTGGCAAAAAGATGGACGGAACAGAAAAAAACATCAATAAGCAAGTCAGACTTTGGGTGGTTATGTTAGCAGTTAGGTAAATTTACGTATGATTTACCATGAAGACACGGGACCTTCCACTTCGACGTCGGGTTTGACTTTTTACTGATCCCCTAGCACTTGATAGGATATAAGAAGCACCTTGAATTTTAAAAGAAACCATTAGAAGTCTTGAAAATGGACCTGAAGCCGGGTGGATTGATATGGCCAAATACAACGTTACTCGGGTGAAAAAAATTGCGTAAAACTTTATGGGATCGACTCTTCTACAAAAGCTTCGCCTTGCATCACAGAGATATGACCTTGGAAGATTTCTGAGAGATGAAGTGACCAAAGGGTAAAACATTTCCGGCTGGTGCAGATTTTCGTAGTTGTTTAGGCACCCTCTACCGCTTTCATGTGTTATTTCAGTCGAGAAGCAAATCTTAGGTTTGTATAACCAATGCACCTCTGGTCAGATAACAATACCATACATAATGGTTTATACAAGATTTTCCAAATTCTGCTAGACCTCTATCAAGACCAGTACTTGCGGTAGATTTTGAAACCACTGATGAGGAACACAGATTACATGGCAACAAACATGACGGTATTTTGCGGTTGAATAAAAAATGTAAACTTCGGAGAGGGTGAGGATAATATCTCTGTATTAACCTTTTTTTTTTTTTTTTATGTGAAACTGGCCATTCCAGACACAACTAATAGGCTCTTGCCAGGTCGAATTAGGTTTTGTTCCCCTCTGTTTTATCATTATCATTATTTTGCATGGTTATCAGCAACAACTCGAACTACCGACAACTCCGATCTCTTAAGTTTCCCTTGAAGTTAAGAGTCAAGGGGAGTCATCATTGTAAAATTACCCTGGTTAGGGTTTTAGCAGTGCACTAACAATAAACATTGCGTTTTCTAGGGTGTCGGTTAGTTCTCAATATACGGCCAGGGAAGTTATGGGGATACCATTATTGTTTTAAGTTTTTTCTTTTTCAAAATAGTAGAACCATTCAGTCATTAATTGGACAGGTCACTTTTCCTGCAGCCTCAAGCTTCCTTCACTCTTATAACTAAATGTGGCAAGTATATCAGTGTGTAGATATTACACATGAAAATTGAACTACTAATTACAAACGAATAAATAATACGATACCTATTTCAATCACGAAGTGACAGCAAAATTCTTATACCGTCACGTCGACGTTATTCTACTAACCAGAATTCGAACTGCACCGAGACGGGTTGTACAGCTCCGTATCTGTCAGATAACCAAATATAGAGCTGGCTGTGCCGTTGAATCCTGCGACTGAGTCTGGAATAAAGGATTTCGAGAAAGACACTCATTTGATAATTAAGTAGGATGGTCATTTTTGTGTTAAATCAGTTAAGATGAAATTAAAGTTGAGGATCCTACACAACAGAATTCCATCTCCTCAAGCAGTATTTTCTGCTCTTTAAGTATCTATTATGTCATTCGATCAAGTTCATTCCCTTACTAACCTGTGCTTAGACTAGACGCTTTCAGTTTTGACTTGCAGAGTGATTTAAACCTTCTTCGTGGTCTTCCAGAGTCGGAATCAGAATCAGCCTCGATATCACTAGTAAAGTACTCATCTTTTAGAGATAGCGTTGTTCCTGTTTAAAACGGCGCATCGAAGATGAGTAAGATATGATCAACAGTCATCATCACGGACGGCGACAGTACCTAATCTCATCATAACTAAGCCTGCACTTCCCAAATTTAAGCACAGGATCGGAAGGCTTAACCGAGCAAATGATGGCGTCACTCGCACATTTACCAAAACTTAATTATAGATACACAGTATTTTCATGCCGATCAATGGACGCGAATGATCAATAAAGTGGTGTGAAATCTGGCTTCGAAGTCTTAATTAGCAGCAACAGAGACACAAAAAGGGTTGTTTGGTCCATCCCGTTGATTGATAAGTCGAGCTTAGCCTTATAACTTGTAATTGTAAGAGACCCCCGATGGCTCCCTAAATTATGATTTTTTGTATATTAAGCCGAAGTAATAAACTGAAACTAAATTAAACTTGCCTCTTGACCGATTACGCTCCTCTAATTGCTCTTCGGCAGCCTGGTTTGACCTCTTAAAATCTCTACGCCTTTGTAGCGCGTCTACATTTGTCGTCACAAATAAGTCTAGTACAAAAACAGGTACAAATTCAAATTAAAGATATTCAAAAACCATAATTACTTGAGACTCACATTACTTTTCGAGTCAGATTTGTCGTCATTTCCAGGCTGTAGTATCGTCAAAGGCGTTTGAAAGTAGATGAAATATATTTTATTTGATTTGGGATTTCCTTTTTGCGTCCTCAAAACATCCAACAAATTCTATTGTTCTAGTTAATTTATATTCTTTTCTAAATTCTCATTCATAATTCTATTACATTTTTTTTGGTAAGAAATAGACAAATTTTTTGAGAGATATGTTTCGGCATGCTTAAGCCATCTTCAATCAATGAGTAACAGAACGTGAGTAATTATATAACAGTACACTAAACATCAAAGGTGTGAACTAAAGCGCTAGTAAAGTGTTATAATGCTGTAATTGTTTGTTAAGTTCAGGTTTGATCTTATTTATATAAAAAGCTTCTTTGAGTTTTAAATCAATTGAGTTGTTAGCAGAATCCAGAATACTAAAGCAAGTGAGGGAGTATTTGTTCTTACAAGAGAGAGATGTGTTGAAATGCTTAAAAATATGCGAGTTTTTATCGCTTTCCGTGTGCTCCTTTATCCTAGTAGAGAAGTGGCGACTAGTTTCGCCAATATAACGGGAATTACATCCCGCACAAGAAAATTGATAAGCTATCATGGATTTTAGAGCATCAGGAGTACGATCTTTAACACTGAACATGTTTTTAATTTTAAAAGAAGTGAAAACTAGTTTGATATTTAGGTCCGACTTACAAAAGCGCTTAGTGAGTTGTCGGAGTTTGAGGTTCGCTATTTTAGAATAATAGCCGACAAAGGGGAGTTTAAAGTAACGTGTATTATTGTCATTAA